AATGGGATACCTATACCTAAAATCCTATTTTGAAATGTTAACACAAATATCCTTCTGTCTCACCACAGACTTCTTTCCCTCTGCACTACTGGCTCAGTTATTTCACTCAGTCTTTTACGTGACTCTATCAGTATCATTACACCTGGTTTTCTGGTCTTTGTTTCATTTCCCATGCTACTTGGTATCAATGGCAAATTAATTATTCTCTTACCACCATCTTGCAGTCTCATGCTGTTTTATTCTTTCTACATGAGCTGGAAAATTCCATCCTAGATTAATACCACCATGAGTTTTCCTGCTGGAGGGCTAGAGAAAATCCTGTAGTCCTCTGAAGAGTCATAGTCACCAACCTCAAAGTCTCAGCAATACTGCGTACTTCCAATGCATTTCTCTAGTTGCTATTCTTCACCATTCAAAATAATGACTATTTCAAACCCTCCTTATTCCCCTCTACCCCATGATTATATTGTTGCCCATTATTTTTAATGTGATTATCCTTCTTACAGCAAATACTTTAATTTCCCATCATCGAACCAATAAAATCTTTAAGCATTAGCATCCATCCTTTCCTCGCCCTCTTGTGATATAATGTGAAAGATACTCCTTTCCTTTTGAAAAACCATCTTCTACACTGGATTGCTGAACCTTACCTCTGCCAATTTTCTCCAGAATTTTATGTTACCGTTTAAAAAAAAAAAAAAACTCCCCTGTTCATTTCACATCTTTCCCCTTATGTATTCCTATTTATGTTCTCAATCTCATAGCCAAATTCGAAAAGAATATTCTGCATTTGTTGCTCTTATTTCTTCCTCTATCATTCCTATGACAATGTTCTTTCATTTGGATTTTTGGGTCACTGCTCCATCGATGCTCTGTTGCTAAGGCAACTTGTGATACTCTTGTTTAGTTCAAGGAGATACTTCATAATTCTCATCTTACTGAACTTTTAGCACTTTGTTAAAACACAGTCTTCTTCCCTTGGTTCCTAAAATGATCTCACTTTCGATGTGTTCCTTACTTCTCTGTTTCTTCTTGGTCTCCTTTCTCAATTGTCCTTCTCTACCCAATCACTAAAGTTCGGAGGATTTCAGGTTTTTTCTGTTCAGGACTTTCTTTTTTACTTCCCAATGATCTCTTTACAAACAATCTCATTCTCTGTCATGATCTCTATCATTTGTGGCCATGTAAAAGCCACTAACTCCAAATTTAAATCTTTGTCCAGATTTCTGGGTTCCAGAACCATAGATATTCTATCCATTTTATTATTTTGTAGCCAGTTCAAGCCAAACATAACAAAAATTAAAAAGACCATCACGTTTCCCCAGCCAGAAACACATGAATCATTTTGGCTCTTCTCTTCTCATCTCTAACTCATCCAGTGCACTCTCTTCTCCAACCAGCTGTGAAATCCATGTGCTTGTCTCCATCTTTAACCAGACCCTTACAACTTCACCCTTTTTCCTTCCTAAACTAGTGTAAAATCTGCCAAATTGTTTTTCCCATATCTTCCCCTTTCTATGTCTGTTCTTTCCACACATAAATCAGAGTGATGATTTTACTTTTTTTTTTTTTTTTTTTTTTTTTTTTAGGGAGAGCGAGAGGGAGACAATGAGAGAGTGAGTAGGCAGGGCAGGGGCAAAGGGAGAGAGAGAGAGAGAGAATCTTGGGCAGGTTCCGTGTCCAGTGCAGAGCCTGATGCAAGTTCAGTCTCATAACCCTGAGGTCATGACCTGAGCTGAAATCAGGAGTTAGATGCTTAACTACCTGAGCTACCCAGGCACCCCCAGAGTGATGGTTTTTAAAAATATTTATTTATTTATATGACAGAGATAGAAAGAGAGAGCATACAAGCAGGAGAAGTGGCAGAGGGAGAGGAGGAAGCAGGCTCCCCACTGAGCGGGGAGCCTGATATGGGCCTCAATCCCAGGACCCTGGGATCATGACCTGAGCCAAAGGCAGATGCTTAACAACTAAGTCACCCAGGCACCCCAGAGTGATGATTTTTAATAGATATCTAACCTTATAACTTTCCTGCCAAAGGTTCCCCAATGGTTTCTCATGGCCCTTAGAATAAAGGCGATTTTATTAAATAGTGTCTACAAGGTCCTTCACTCATTGTGGCAGTATGATCTCTACTGTCCTCTCTGCTTTCTGTGCTCCACACACAGCAGACACCTTTCAGTTCAACATGGGTACAAGGCAGTGCCCTATCTCAGGACTCTTGTACCTGTTCTTTCTGCTGCCTACTTTGCTCTTCCTTACATCACTACCTTAGGCCTCAAGTCAGTTCTAATAGCAAATCCCCAGTGCAACCCCCTTCCCTTCTATGACAATGGCAGCTCTGTCTGTTCCATGTAAACCAAGATACGATTTTGTGCTTTATTCTGTATATCGCTCAGAAAAACTTGCAATGATAGCACAGTGTAGGTGTGAGTTTCATGATCCCCAACACCTTGTAACAAAGTTCTTGGCACGTAAATATTTGTTAACTGGAAGAATGTTGCTTACATTAAACTTCTTTAAAGACTAAAATTACTTTTCTTAAGTGTTTCTTTTGTTGTCATTATTCAGATTAATTATAGCCTATAACTGAAAATTATTGCAGGGGCAAAGCCAAGGTGAGGTTTTCATTCTCCTTAGTGATGCCACATACTATGGAATCATTAGTTCTAGAATAATGCATCCAGACTTACAAATGAAGATTCAAGAGGTGAACTTTGGTCTTTTCTATGCTTTCCACTCAAGGATGTTGTCAAAACACAAACAGAAATGTAAATGGTAACAGGAGACTATGAGAAACTGGTGTCACCTGAACGAGTCAGGTCTCATTCTGAATGGGAGGCTCAAACTCCCAGATAAGCAAAGCAATTCTGAATTACAACTTTTTCCCACAGAAAATTTCCATGATCCAGAAGACAATAATATCATTAGGGGGAAAAGGAGCAGATGCTTTTTTCTCCTTAAAATAGGTCTGTCTCTAGTAAGCAAGCAGTTGTAGCCCTTCAAGACTTGTTTTATTTCTGCAAAATTACTCTGAAAGTGTTTGCAATGAATATTATTCAGGTAACTAATTCCAAAAATGCTATCATAAGGAATAGAACCCATCATATTTATAACTTACAGTACTTATAAAAATGTACGTTTGACTATAAATGATGCTGTGGTAATATCATCAGACAGAATACAGGCTATTCACAACTTTCAAGGACTTAAAGAATGCCTGTGTTAAATGCCGTATACTTTTTTTTTTTTTACCCATTAAAGTAATATCTGTAAGTAAATAAGGATATCAATTAAATACAATACTTTTCCTACATATTAATTAGTAGCTCAATGAACAATGTGACTTAAAAATATGCAGAATGACATAAGTAACAGGTTTTCTCATCCATTTTAATATAATGTCTTCAACAAAAAAGGTACCATCTCACTTTGCTCTGAAAGGAAATTGTTTCTTAATTTCAATTTCTGCAAAACTTAATGATGAGTTCTGTCAATGAAAGAATATAAAGACCTTGACTTTATGGTTAACATACCAAACAAAAGGAACCCCTTCATTAATTACATGTGTTTTCTAGCTTTTAATTCTGTTATTGAAATATAATTTTCCTATAATTGTATCACTCATTTCACCCTTCCTTATTCAAATAATTAGATTACCCAAATTACTTATCTCCAAAGTAAAATCTATCCCATGTTGACAGACAGGAGTCCCATGTCAGGAAGATTTCTCACAGCGTGTAATTAGTTCAGTTCAACCCACCAGCAATATCAGAAAATGATATATAGCCTATATTCTAATGATAGCAGAAAACTTGCACCGTCTTTATTTGCCAAAGCATCCATGCTCTTAATTTCATGAGCGTATTTTTAGTTTCAAGTAATTTGGGAAAAGGTAATAGGTGACAAAGTCAGAAAGAAAAGTGTAAAAATATGGTACACAACTCTAGCTATATATAATACCTAGAAAATGTACAGAAAAGTACATTTGCATTCCAATAACACCTGTGACATTTAGATGTTCTATAGAATTCCTGCTCTCAATCTTTGCCTGCATCATATGCCAGTATTAGTTCTCTCTGGATAGAGTCAGAGACCATAAAATAGTGGAGTGCTTAGAGGACATATGGAAAAACAAGGAATAAATTTCTATGCTTTTCTGCTTTGTATAATTCTTGTTCAAAAAGCAGACAATGAAATTGTAATTCTGTTTAGAAAAAAACTTGGAAATCCCCAATCAAAATCTTTAACCTTAACAACACCCAAAAAAGGAAAACAAAAAAATGCAGCTTTATAAAAGTTTTGCTTTATAATATACTCATCAGCAGGCCCAACAGTCTCCTAACACCAAGCATTATATATACATATATATGTATATATAATATATATATATCTTATGAAATAAACTCGCTTTATATAGATACACAGGGTCTGCTCATTAACACAGCAAATATCCTTGATTTCCATTTAACGATCTCACTAGCGTACAACAGATTCTTATTCACATAGTTCACTATACACTTGTTATAGATTTTTTTTTCCTGGCAACATTTATCTTTCCTGTTTTATGAACCAAAGCCATTTTATATTTTCTACCTCTTCTCTATAAAATTCTCATAAATAATTACTGGATTTCAAAGGCTCCTGGCAGCTGGACACTTGATAATAGCTTATTTGTAACTGATGTTGAAAGAAATGTGATGTTGGGATTAAAGACCTACAAAATAGCCCGATGTCTTTCTTTCTGCTTCTGGGTTGGCATATGTGGCATTGCATGCTTATGCACAAAGAAAACGCAAGATGTCATTTATTTACAGAAGTACGCTGGCTATAGGCAGGGTGCAAAAAAAAAAAAAAAAAGTGTAAAGAGAAAAGGTAGATGTTTGGCAGTTCCTTAGAAGTTATGTCTCAGAGAATGACAGGACTGACTGGAAAATCAGAAAACAAGTTTCTCCAGGAGACAGGGCTATCAAAGTCCCTGGCCTCACACGGGCACTCACCATTGTCTGTAGTCCCACCAGGAAGCTGTTCCTGACCGTCAGGTGGGCAGACTGCTGCAAAGTCAGTGCCCAGGCCTCCCGGCTCTGCCTACGTGGAGAATGGTGGCCACTCAGCCTTCTCAGGAAGTGACACTTCTCAGGAAACAGCTCTTGGCCTGGAAAGAAAAGGGCATTCCTTAGACAGAGACCAAAAAATCACTATGACTGCACGTAAATAATCTACACACACAAAATCAATTTGTATTGGTAATTCTTAGGTTTCAGTATTTAAATTCCACGAGTTTTAAAGGTTGTTGTTCGTTTCTTTTATTCCTGGAAAAAAGAAATAAATGGACAGACACAACTGATACAGTCATGCATTTGTAGGTATACAATGTTGGCTTAAGATATACAAAACCCCAAAAGGGTGGAGGTAGCAGGCTCAACAAGATTCTGGTCCTGATGTTCTAGCCAATGGATTTAATTTTCTTGGGATATTCAAGTTAGAGTAGTTAAGTCTGATGTGACCATGTATGGGGTATTTATAGTCTGTTCACATATTATAGCACACATTAAGGATGCTGGTAGCTGTGGAAATAAATTCAACTTTATGGAAAAATTTACCTTTGTAAAATGATATATTGTTACTTCTACAAGGAAGAAGGATATACCACCACTGCTAGGTATAACTCCTTTGCCATTCCTAGGATTTCCTTCCATTTTATGGGCACGCCACTGGTATAGCAGTCCAGGCAACATCTGCTCTAGGGAAGGTGAAATGACTTCCTGATCACGGAGCTGAGAAAACATCTGGATGATCTTAACAAGGACGACTCTCATCTCTTTCTCTTGGGAGCTGGCCTCCCCTCAAAAAACACATCTTCTGGGGTGCCTGGGTGGCTCAGCGCGTTAAAGCCTCTGCCTTCAGCTTGGGTCATGATCCCAGGCCCCTGGGATCGAGCCCCGCATCGGGCTCTCTGCTCAGCGGGGAGCCTGCTTCCCCCAACCACTGCCTGCCTCTCTGCTTACTTGTGATCTATCAAATAAATAAATAAAATCTTAAAAAAAAAAAAAAAGAAAGAAAGAAAACACATCTTCTTTACTGTGCTCCTATACTCAGTGAGCTTATTCAGGAGTGGGTAGTGTCCAGGATAGAAGGAGTGGGTGGGGATGGTGGCCATAAACAGGAGATCGAGGGGAAGAACAGCAGCAATTGTAGGAACAGAAAAGTGACCACTGTCTGGAAGGTAGGACGTGTGGAGAAGTGAATCCGAGGAGATACGGGAGAAGACAGGCCACGGGGGAGGGGCTGGCTCCCGGGAAGCAGCAGAGCCCAAAATCCGAACTTTTAGAAGTCGGCTCCATGGAGGGACATCGCTCCAGCCGTTAAGCAGGGGCGGAGCCCTCGTGGGGACAGTGTGGTCTCAGGACCCGCAGGGTCACAGAAAGACCGGGGGTGTCTGAGTGCAGCAGAGCTCCCAGGTATCAGGGCGGGGAAGCCAGCAGCAGAGACGGAGCCGAGGAGTGAGCTCTCAGCTCGGGGTTACCTTAAATTGTGATCTGAGACACAGTCAGACCACTGCTCTTCAAGCAGGGACCCTACAAGTGGCAAATCCGGGGAGACTCAGCTTCCTCCCTGGGAGGAGTGTCGCGGGAGTGCGCTGCAGGAATCTGCTGGGTTTGGAGACTCCAAATGGGGCAACTATGCGCCAGAGACAGAAATCCTTGATCACGGGCCGGTGAGCACCAGCGCAGCCAGAGACCAGGGAGACGGGAGGGACAGACGGCTTTTCTCGAAGGGTGCACTGAGGACTGTGCCCAGAGCTCTTGGCTCCTCCAGCTGGAGACTGGGCGGCCGCCATCTTCATTCCCATCCTCCAAAGCTCTACGGAAAGTGCTCAGGGAACAAAAGCTCCAAGAGCTAACCAAGCAGATTAATTAGCATGGCCCCTGGCAAGGGTGGTGAAATTCCTCCTCCAGAAAAGACATCTGAGAATCGGGGCAACAGGCTCCTCCCGCAGAAGATCAGCAAGAACATCCAGCCAAGACCAAGTTAACCGATCAATGCGAGCTGCAAAACCTCAGATACATGGGAATACAGCATATGGAATTCATGACTTTTTCCCCGTGATTATTTAGTCTTTCAAATTAAATTTTTAAATTTTTTTCTTATTCTATTTTTTTTTAAATTCCTCTTTCCTCCTTTAATCTTTTAAAACTATTTTATCTTATCAATGCCTTTTTAAAAAAATCTTTTAAAATTTTCATTGTTATTTTCATAATTCTATTCCTTCATTGTATTTAACCTTATTTTTTGAAAACATACAGGTTTTTCTTTCTTTAAAATTCTGGGACACAGTTTCTTCTAACAAATCAAAACATACCCTAAATCTACTGCATGGCTTTGTTCTAGTCTCCAGTCTGATCACATTCATTCTTTTTTTTTTTTCCAACCAACTTCTTTTCAATTCCTTTTTTAGAATCTTTTAAAATTTTCATCTTTACAGTCATATTCCATCCCTTCATCGTGTTTACCCTTATTTTTGTATGTATAAGTTTTTCTTTCTTTAAAAATTTGGGATGCAGTTTCTTCTAACAGACCAAAATACACCCAAAATCAAATGTGTGGCTCTGTTCTAGTCATCAATCTAATATATGTATCTATATAGATAGATATAGACATAGATAAAGATATAGATATCGGTGTCTATATCTATATCTATGTCTATATCTATATAGATTGTTTTTTCCTCCTTTCTTCTCCCCCAGTTTCAGGTCTCTTCTGATCTGATTAGTGTATATTTTTTCTGGGGTCATTGCTACCCTTTTAGTATTTTGTTGTCTCATTCATCTATTCTTATCTGGATAAAATGACAAGATGGAAAACTCATCTCAAAAAACAAACAAAAAACAAGAGCCAGTACTGATATGGCAAAGAAGAAGTCAACCTCTCACTCTTTGCAGGTAATATGATACTTTCTGTGAAAAACATAAAAGACTCCACTCCAGAACTGCTAGATCTCATACAGGAATTCAGTAAAGTGTCAGAATATAAAATCAATACACAGAAATCAGTTGCATTTTTATACACCAACAAGACAAAAGAAAGAGAAATTAAGGACTCAATCCCAATAACAACTGCACTGAAACTGTAAGACACCTAGGAATAAATCTAAACAAAGAAGCAAAGAATCTGTACTCGGAAAACTATAGTAAAGTACTCATGAAAGAAATTGAGAAAGACACGAAGAAATGGAAAAATGTTCCATGTTCATGGATTGGATGAACGACCATTGTGAAAAGGTGTATGCTACCTAAAGCAATCTACACATTTCATGCAATCCCTATCAAAATACCATCAATTTTTTTCAAAGAAATGGACCAAATAATCCTAAAATTTATATGGAACCAGAAAAGACCCTGAAGAGCCAGAGGAATGTTGAAAAGGAAACCAAAGTTGGCAGCATCAGAATTCCAGACTTCAAGCTCTATTACAAAGCTGTCATCATCAAGACAGTAAGGTACTGGCAACAAAAAAAACCAGACACATAGATCAGTGGAACAGAATAGAGAGCCCAGAAATGGACCCTCAACTCTAGGTCAACTAATCTTCAACAGAGCAGGGAAGAATTTCCAGTGAAAGAAAGACAGTCTCTTCAACAAATGGTGTTGTGAAAATAAGACAGCCACATGCAGAAGAATGAAACTACACCATTTCCTTATACCACACATAAAAATAGACTCAAAATGGATGAAAGACCTCAATGTGAGTTAGGAATCCATCAAAATCCTTAAAGAAAATACAGGCAGCAACCACTTCAACCTCAGCCGCAGCAAATTCTTCCTAGAAACTTTACCAAAGGCAAAGGAAGCAAGGGCAAAAATGAACTATTGGGACTTCATCAAGATAAAAAATTTGCACTGAAAAAGAAACAGTCAAAACCTAAAGACAACTGACAGAATGGGAGAAGATATTTGCAAACGACATACCAAATAAAGGGCTAGTATCCAAAATCTATAAAGAACTTATCAAACTGAACACCCAAAGTACAAATAATCCAATCAAGAAATGGGCAGAAGACATCAACACACATTTTGGCAAAGAAGACATCCAAATGGCCAACGGACACATGAAAAAGTGCTCAACATCACTCAGCATCAGGGAAATACAAATCAAAACCACAGTGAGATACCACCTCACACCTGTCAGAATGGCTAAAATTAACAGGTCAGGAAACCGCAGGTGTTGGCAAGGATGCAGAGGAAGGGGAACCCTCCTATACTCTTGGTGGGAATGCAAGCTTGTACAGCCACTCTGTAAAACAGCATGGAGGTTCCTCAAAAAAAATTGAAAATAGAGCTACCCTATGACCCAGCAAACACACTACTGGGTATTTATCCTAAAGACACAAATATAGTGATCCAAAGGGGCACATCTCCCTGAATGTTTATAGCAGCAATATTCATAATAGCCAAACTATGGAAAGAACCTAGATGTCCATCAACAGATGTATGGATAATGAAGATGTGTTGTATGTATACAATGGAATACTATCCAGCCATCAAGAAAAAAAAATCTTGCCATTTGCAACAACGTGGATGGAACTAGAGGGTATTATGCTAAGCAAAATAAGTCAATCAGAGAAAGACGATTATCATATGATCTCTCTGATATGAGGAATTTGAGAGGCAGGGCAGGGAATTGTGGAGGGCAGCGAGGGAAAAAATGAAACAAGATGGGACTGGGGAGGGAGACAAACCATAAGAGACTCCTAATCTCAAAAAACAAAGTGAGGGTTGCTGTGGGGTGGGGAGGGAAAGGATAGGGTGGCTGGATTATGGACACTGGGGAGGGTATATGCTATGTTGAGTGCTGTGATATGTGTAAGACTGATGATTCACAGACCTGTATCACTGGAGCATATAATATATGTTAATAAAAAATTGTTAAAAGTTCCAAAATAGTTTAAGATCATCACAAAATATCTTTGAAATGAGGGCACAAGAACCATAGTATTTAAATGCTATTATCTTCAAAGATCAAACCTAAGAATCTCCCTGCTCCTCCCTGCTCAAAATCTAAGCCT